ACAAAAGCTTCTCAGTTTCAAAAGGTCTCATTTATTAATTGTTGTTCTCAGTGTCTGTGCTACTGGTGTTATATTTAGGAAGTAGCCTCCTGTGCCAATGCATTCAAGAGTATTTCCTACTTTCTCTTCTATCAAGTTCAGTGTAACTGGATTTATGTTGAAGTCTTTGATCCACTTGGACTTGAGTTTTGTGCATGGTGACAGATATGGATCTCTTTGTAATCTTTTACATGTTGACATCCAGTTATGCCAGCACCGTTTGTTGAAGATACTTTCTTTTTTCCATTGTATAGTTTTGGCTTCCTTGTCAAAAATCAGGTGTTCATATGTGCGTGGATTAATGTCAGGGTCTCCAATTCGATTCCATTGGTCTGTATGTCGGTTTTTTGCCAGTATCCAATTATTCTTGAATTCCTTCTGTAGCTTTGGCAGCCTTTGAACTTGCCATCCTCATTGCTTAGCCTCTCAGTTACCTGGGGTTACAGGCCTTCACCTAAAGGCACAACTCTAGAGATGACCTATTGTCTAGCATGTAAGAGATCACTAGATGGGTACCAGCAGTTCATACAACCTCTTTCTATTATTGGCAATATTTCCTGTCTCAAAAATGGTGACTTTGTCACCTTGTCTTCCTAACACTGAGGCATTAAACCCATGAGGTCTGCTGTGGAGCAAGGTCCAGGTCAGCTGTGACTGTATGAAACCCTGCTTCAAAAAAGAACCAACAATAAAAAGTGTGTGTGTGTGATAAATGTGGATTCCTTTGTGGCTTTTTGAAACAGGGTATCTCTCTTTGTAGCCCTGGCTGTCATGGAACTTGGTTAGGTGACTAAGACTGGCCTGGAACTCAGAGATCACCTGCCTCTCTCTGCCTCCTGAGTGTTGGAGTTAAAGGGATGCATCACCACACCCAACCTACATGTGGATTTTTTGAGTAATAGATTGATACCTTTCCTGGAATTTTAAATTTATCTTTACTTATTTATACTAGGGAATGTAGCTAGAGTTTTCCTGCCCAGCCCACAGTCAGGACAAATCTCTCTCACCCGCCAGTCCCACAGCCGCTCAGACCCAACCAAGTAAACACAGAGACTTATATTGCTTACAAACTGTATGGCCGTGGCAGGCTTCTGCTAACTGTTCTTACATCTTAAATTAATCCATTTCTATAAATCTATACCTTGCCACGTGGCTCGTGGCTTACCGGCATCTTCACATGCTGCTTGTCATGGTGGCAGCTGGCAGTGTCTCCTCCCACCTTCCTGTTCTCTCAGTTCTCCTCCCTGTTAGTCCCGCCTATACTTCCTGCCTGGCCACTGGCCAATCAATGTTTTATTTATTGACCAATCAGAGCATTTGACATACAGACCATCCCAGAGCAAGGGAACAAATCCAGGACTTCAACATGTAGGCAAGTGCTCACCCACTAAGCTTACATGCTTACCTCTCAGTTCAAAAAGGCTAAATTAATTAGAAATTTAAAAAAAAAGGTGTTTGTAAGTTTGAGAGACCGTCAGCTACTTATCACCGGATTCTAGCAATTGATATTTACATATATTTTCACCAATCCCTTTAATAACTCACAGCACTATACATAAGATTCCTGGTACATGCCACCTCAGTACAAAGCCTGTCTCTAGTCAACTCAAGAAGGCCCAACTCAAGCCAAACCAGGGGAACTCCTAAGAGCTTTATGTCCTAACCAGTCTTGACCAATTTGCCAATGCTTGCCTAAAGTCAGTTCATGACTGGGAATAGGCTCTACATTGGTTCTGCTCAGAGTCCATGCCTCTGACCCTACATGGAACAATAGCAATGGCATTATGTGACAGACATTTCCTGGGGAAACACAAGAGACACAACACACTCACTCATCTACTCACCTCAGTAAGAGAGCCCACAACAGACCAAAGTATCCGGGACTATGGTGGTCCAGCCCCTCGATAGTACCCTCCCAGGGTCTGGGAAGAATCTACAACCAGCTGATAATTAATCTTAAGTCTCATTTATCTTTTGACAAAAATTAATAAAATACATTTAGAACAGAATTATTTCTAATCATATTTCTATAAGTTTTATACCATTGATGAACAGTTCATCAAAAGGATCTGGAATTGTATCTATTTATTCATATTCAAAGCTCAATATTTAAGAATCTAGAGGTAAATAACAGCCTGTATTCAGACTGGCAGCTTTAGAGTGCCTTTGTCCTGCAGCGGCCTAGTGTATAGTATGAACAGGCGATCCAGAATTCATGAAGACGGGTCAATATCCTGTGAAGACATGTAAGCATATCCTCTTCCTGACAGTATGAAAACATCAGGACCTTTTCAGATACCAGTGAGAAGAGCATAGAGGCTTAAGTGTGACTTTATGTCTTGGCCTGGGGGTAATAAGGAATGCCTGTAGTGGGAAATGTGAAAAATTAAGCACCAATTCTTAAGAGCTCTTGAAGTATATGTAAGGCTGTTGTCTATAAATGAGCTCTAGGCATTCCTAAAATTGAAAAGCAGTGAAATAAATGATGTATTACTTCTTATTTCATAACCATAAATCATAAGGACATAAGCCTCATGGGTGAGCTTCCATAGGGAGAGAATATATAATTGTTGGACAGACATATGAAAAGGTGCCAGTATATCCTGTAGAGCCAGCTGCCAATCTATAGACTCATAAGTTTCACAGTTTGATATAAATATAATATCATCTGTGCAATAAATGTATTGTAATATATATGTATATACACATATATACTACATATATATTATTATTAGTTTGGGGGACTGTGAGGAAGCTATAATTGACAGTTGGTTCTGATAGTTAATCTGTATATATAAAATGAGGAACTCTGCTCAATAAATGAGTCCTGGATAAACAGAATTTGCATTTCCTGCTCTGTATGTCAGCTTTGGCCTCCATCATGGCAGGGTGAGTAGGCAAGCTAAAAGGGAAATGCTGACAATCTTTAGGTTGAGGAAGTATGGCAAAGAAGCGATCTTGTAAATTTATAACCATTGTTATTTTGATTCCTAGGGATGGTAATGGGAGATGGCAAGCCAGGCTGTGAGAATCCCCTTGGCTTTAATGAATTTTATTTAATTTCTTAAGATCCTGTAACGGTTTATAAGCCTGATTTTCTTTAAACAACAAATATTGGGGTGACTGAAGGACTGGTGGGAGGCTTTATATGCCCTATTTTTAAGTTTCTCCTCCACCAGACAGGTCGCAGTTACAATTCTCTCAGTATTCAAAGGCCATTGTTTGATCCAGAAAGGAACAATGGATTTTCCTGAAATGTGGCCAGCAGTGAGGGCCATAGTGGCCCCTAGGACAAATCCTGATAACCTCGGCCATGTCTGTCATTTATAAGTTCTGGAATAATGGGCTCAATTATGCCTTGAGCTTGTTTACTCAAGTTCCTTTAAGTTTAAAACCCATCTGTAGCATTTGAGCTGATATTAGTCACAGCAGAGATTAATGGTACATCCATTTGTTACAGTATGTCTCTTTCCCATAGTGTTGTTAGGTATGGAGGATGACGTATGGGCAGAATATGCCATAATTTTATCTATCTGACCATCTTAATATTTTTGAGCTGCTAGCAATACTGCTAGGTTGACTGAGGCCTATAAGAGATGAAAGAGTAATAATCGTCTTAAATACTTGACCAATCTTTTCCTGAAATATAAGAAACATCCGTGCTTATGTCTAGCAAGCCAGTTATTTTCTTTCCCTGTATTTTAAGTGTTTAGTTGGTTTGGAATATTTAATTTCCTAAACGCAGAAAGCCATATCACTAGAATCCACACCATCAGCTCCCTCAGGCACTGCCCTGCATGAATCTGAATTGTTTTAGTAGAGAGTTGTACAATGATCTTAATTTCTTCAGTAAGGTCAGGAATCAAACCCTCCAGGGAGGACCTTAATATTTTGTACAGCAGGGGAGCTACGGCCTATTATTAGCCCCAGTGTCCCTTCTGGGGAGGTCTGTAGACTCTTATATTAAGGTATACATAAGTTCATTCTTAAAGCCTATATATCTATTTCAGACCTCAGTAAAAACGTTATCCATAGATCTAACTTAGGCTTACATTCTCAGTATCTATAGGTCATTTACTGAGACTCAGGTATCATTTATAACATATCTAGATATTTTTATATTTTTCTATTCCAATGGCTTGCACTACATATAAATTATTTCTTAATGTTCTTAAACATTCTTTATATCTAATCCTTTATATCCTTATAAAAACTTTACATCTAAAAGCATTTTTGTATTTAATTCATCAGGAGATATAGGTGATTGATTATTGAGACTAGCCAATGTAAAGTGAATTTCTTTTTTTTTTTTTTTTTTTTTGGTTTTCTCGAGACAGGGTTTCTCTGTGTAGCTTTGCGCCTTTCCTGGAACTCACTCTGTAGCCCTCACTCTGTAGCCCAGGCTTGCCTCAAACTCAGAGATCTGCCTGGCTCTGCTTCTCCAGTGCTGGGATTAAGGCGTGGTCCAACACTGCCTGGCATGAATTTCTTTTAATAAAGGAACAGTAAAAAGTCATTTTGAAATCTGTTAGGTGAGCTATCTTTTACTTAAAATTGGATAGTAAGGCAAATTATCTTTAAACCTGGTAAATGGAAATATAATCTAAATGATCTAAAAGCATAGTTTGGACAAAACCCTGGCAATAAGGGATATGGCAGTTTTGTCCAAAGCTTAAACATTTTAAATGTTAGGGGGCTAAGTAATGAATTGGTTATATGAAACTTAGCATACTTAGCATGTATATAAATATGATTTTTGTATACATTACAGAATTTGATCATTCATGAGATAATCAAGTTTTAATTTGTATCCTAATAATTATCTCTATTAGCTTATAGCTTTGGTACAGCTTATCCTTAACAGTTTACAGTTTAGGTTGGCCAATCAATCAATAAGTTTCATTTCTTAATTATCTTTAATTAAAGTAAACTTATTCTTTTTTTTTTTTTTTTATTCTCAGGGGAGAGCGCGAACACAGTCCCCCACTACCACAAATTATGCAGTCGAGTTTCCTGCATTTGGGGAAATCACAGGGGTCAGCACATCCGGAGTGCAATGGATAAGCCTCGCCCTGGGAAAACCACCTTCGTGATCACGGTATCTCCCCTGCCAGGTAAGTATAAAAGTAAACTTATTCTTAACAATTTATAAGTTAGTTGTCTTTGTAAACTTAGAACTTAGGTTTTATACCTGTCCGGTTAGCCTTAAAAATATGAAGCTTGTGGTGGTTATTTTAATATAGAAACAGGAGCTCTTATTTAAAAATATGGTATATAAGGAAAATGACAATTTAATAAATCCTTTAAGGTGTATCATGAAATGAGATAAGCATAGTTAAAAAAAACCAAAAAACTAAAACGGAGGAGAAATGTTTTGTTGTTGTAGCAGCTGCAGCCGGTTTGTCCAGTCTGTATCAAGCCAGACAGCCACCGGAAATGGAGAGGGGAGGGGAGGGGTGGAGACAGACTGAAGTGAGCTGAGATGCAGAGAGCAGACAGTTAGGTTCCGAGAGAAGACAGCAGACCTTGATGAATCCATACAGGTCTAAGGGCATCCCTCACCAGGATCTGTTTTCTTGCAATGGGTTGACTGAAGTTCTTGTACTTGGCCAAGATTTTTGTAAATTACCAAGAACTTAACAGTCAACCCAAAAGAAGAAAGAGAGAGAAAGAGACACTTTTTTTAAATACAGCAATAGACAAGTTGGGAGTTGCCATTATTATTTTAACTGGTACTATCCGGCATGTGAGGCCTGCATTATTATTTAAATGAGGGCTGCTGGAGCAGAGCTCCTAGTTAGCTGCAGGGCAGTTTTGAAGGTTTACAGCTCAAGTTAGCCCTTAGATTCCAGTAGTTTTAGCAAAACAGGCTGTTTGTAGCAGGACACTGCTGCTACTATGGAGAACATAGTGAACTTCATTAGCTCTAGTTTACACTCTCAGGAGGTCTTGTAGTGTGATGATCTCTTTGTAAGACCCCGAATGAAGTAACAGCAGGTTTCTCCCTAGAAGGGAGGGGTTAGAATCTGTGCCGCTTATCATAGTCTGAAGGTAAGTCAATTTCATAAGGTTGGCAGCTTTTAGGGGTCCCCTAAATCTCTCCTTACGTTTTTTAGGAGGCCTTATGGGATTAAGATAGTCTGTTGTTTCCTTATCTAAGCCTGTAAACTGACTGGAGCTGACTGAAACGCCTTCTGTAACTTCTATCAGAGGCTGTTCCCCACTCCCAGCTGAGGACCGAACCCAGGGCCTTGTGCTTGCTAGGCAAGCGCTCTACCACTGAGCTAAGTCCCCAACCCCCAGAAGCTGTTTCTCTTCAGACTCATTCTGACAATTTGGGGGGGGGGGATTCATGGCTACTCACCGTTCCAAACGGGGGCGGGGTTGGTGTCCCCGGGATCTGCAGCATCCTTCAGTGAAGACTGTAGCTGATACTCCAGAGGTCTCCAAAAATTGTACCTCTCGAAGAGTTGAGCCTCTAACTGGGCAACCCTCTGTGAAGCGATACCTCTCTCCCTGGATATGCTCCAAACCTTACTTATCAGTCCCCCCCCCCAACCTAAACATTTAAATCTGTTCGTGGCGTCAGGTATCGGGGACTATGGGGGTCCAGCCCCTCAATAGTCCCCTCATTTTGAAACCAATGTCCAATTTGATGAACCAATGAGTTTTGTATTGGGGTCACTAACAAGAGCATGGGTGAGTGGTGACTTACAAGGAGCAGGGATTGTTGGTTTTTAAAGTGGTAGCAGTGCAATGTTAGCAGCGCTGTTACCATGCGAGAAAAGTCAGGAGGTATGACAGAACCCATTATTAATAGTTTATTAGGGGAAGAAGACAGAAGGGGTGCTCAGGCCTGTGGGAGACACATGCAGAGAGAGGGGAAGGAGGAGGAGTCTGTGACCGGTGTCGTAAGGAGTCCCCTGCACATGCACATGGGCTTACAGAGCTAAGCCATGCATGCACATAGATCGCATGATCACACTGTGCACAAATGACGTGATCACACAGCACACAGATTATGTAGGACGTAAGGCCCCTTACTTGGCTACTGAACTGCATGTGTGGTCATTTAGCCAAGAATTCCAACATTCCAGGCTCTTTGCTTGTTATAAAAAAGGGTGGGTGAACAGGAATAGGGGTGCTGTGTCTCCCAAGAACTGCTTCCTGACTTGGTGGGCATCGGTTAACTCTTGAGGGGTAGGGAAGGGAGCTTCTGAAGTAGCCAGCCGTCCTGGGGGTAATGGATTGTCCTCTGCTGCTTTGGAATTGTCTGGCGAGGTGCTGTCCAGGTGGATTCAAGCTGGCTCCAGAGCTCGCTGACCTGTCCAGGTGGATTCTCTGGAGCTCAGAAGAATTTTTAAACATATTAAGAAGTATCCATGGGAAATTTAAAACCTTAAGCTGGTGACCATGATGTTACAATGTTTAGTACTCTGCTATATTGGATATTGGTTGGTGTTAGTGAGAGAGAGAGGGAGATAAAGGGAGAGAGATATTTGGAACATGCTTTTAATTTTTACCTGAGGTACACCTTATCTGAGACAGATTTTAAGGCACCTATTTCCTTTATTAGTTTAGCATCCAGTTTGACTGTTACTGTTCCTTACTGCCTGGATATATCTGGTGGTTCTCATCCTCCAGCTCTATGGTGGCCCTGTAACAATTAGCTGAGTAGTTAATTAGGAGAGGGAACCAGGAAGGAAAAGCTTGTGGCTTGGGACCTCATTGTTCTGGAACTGGTGGCAAGGCTGTGCATCCTGGTGTCCTCTGGAACTTGAGAGAGAGAGAGAGAGGGAGGGAGGGAGGGAGGGAGGGAGGGAAGGAGGGAGGGAGAGGAGGGAAGAGGAGAGGAGAGGAGAGGAGAGGAGAGGAGAGGAGAGGAGAGGAGAGGAGAAGAGAAGAGAAGAGAAAAGAGAGAAGAGAGCGAGCGCAGGGCCCGTCTGTGTCACTGTGCATGAGGAGGAGAAGAGGCCCTGCTGACAGGTATGGAATGAGGCAAATGGGGAGCAAGTGAAATAAAGCTCCTTTCTTAGCTAGAAAATCTCTTCCCATTAGGGGCACAGGGCAGGTTGGCACAACTGAAAATGTGTGGGTGAGAGGGATACCCTTGAAAATGCAGTGAAGTGGTGGGGTCTGGAGAGGTGGGACCCCAAAAACTCCCTCAGGACTGAGTAAGTGGCTCAGTGTCCAAGAGGAAGGAGTGGATCGCCCCATGCTGTAATGGCTCTCTCAGGTTCCCTGTGAGCCCATGGCCAAGCCTAGGTGGTTTTGGTCTGATGCTCCCATGCCATGAGGTGCACGAAGGCCATCAGCTCACCAGTGTTCCTCTTGGTGCCACTTCGAACAAGGCTCATTTGGTGGCCCCAGGGGGCAGGGCACACACTAGCCTGCCTGGCCTTTTTCACCACACATTTAAAACAGGGACCAGGAAGCCTCTATGCAGCTGCTCGGATAGTATGTGCCAGCATTTGGCCATTCTGTTCACGGGCTTTCTCATCTCTCCCATGGTACCTTAAAATGCCACAGCTGAGACTCTGCCTTTGGGGTCAGGGGCCTCCTCTCCAGATGCTTAAGTTAGCCCTGATGCCAGGAAGCTCTGGGAGACATGAGAAAGGTTTTATTCCGTATCTTGAATTATGTATTTTAGATTCTGATGGATTACTGGTTTGAGGGAAGCCAAAGGAAGACCCGCCAGGAGGCAGGTTGTAAACTGATGTCTGGCTATAGAGCCACCTGGGCTTTATGCTCCCAGTGTGATCCTGAACTCATTTGCATGTGTCCTAGCCTGCTTCCAGACCTGTCTGTGCTTCTCAGGGCAGCTTGAGAACCAGTGAGAGGAAGAGAGTGGGAGGAGCTAAGGTGAGAGCCAGAGTTGGGCAGAAGTGGCCCCCTGATACTGGAGAGCCCGCCCAATACCAGAGAGCAGAGCAGAAGTCAGACAGGCGGAAGTGGTTGCATGTGGCACAGAAAGAATCAGAAATGGGGAGGGAGGAGGGTTCAGAGCATAGGTAGAAAGCTTGGGGATAAGGTAACTCTTTTCATTTGCCCATTTGCTGGCAGAAGGTAGATAATTCATGTGAAATATCGGGGTCCAAGCAGCCATTATGTGGCCATATTTATTGGTATATTTAAGGCCTTTCTCAGAGGAGGAGTGAGACCAAGAGGAGGAAGCCTTATGTCCCATGACTGCAGCTGAGAGAAAAATAAAATAAAATAAAGAAACAGGATCAGACTCCAGTCCTGGGTATCCCTGAGGTTGGAGAAGGATCTGTGAATCAGCACAAGTTACCTCAGCCTTCGTCAAGATGGAGGTAAGGGCTGGGAGTTTACACAGCCCGAGGACCCCCAGGGTTCGGCAGCTAGAAATGTATCTCAGGATGTAGTCATGGGAAAATGGCAAGGGAGTGAGTGGAAGGGAAAACTCACTGACTGGAGAGGCAATGTTGTGCAGAGCAGTCCTGTGGCCAGGCAAATGAAAAAAATGAGCAGTCGTAGATGGAGCAAAACCTTGGCACAAGTTCCCAGGCACAGAGCGCCAGGAGGGCTTGCTTCATCACACACTCTAACGTTGGCTTTAATGCAGTGGAGGCAGCACGCTGTTACCGTACAAGAACAGCCACAAGGCATGATAAAACCCAGTATAAGAGTTTTATTAAAAGGGGAAGACAGGAAACAATGTGACCAGGCCTGTGGAAGATGTGCAGCGAGAGAGATGGGAGAGAAGGTGAAGAAGAGGAAGAGGCTGTACTGGCTTCTTAAGGATTCCCCTGCACATTCATGATCACACGGCGCAGGAATTTCGTAGGGTGTAAGGCCCCTTACTTGGCTACTGATCTGCACATGTGCGGTCACTTAGCTGGGGAGTGGCCAGGAATTCCAACAACCTGTTCCCTGCAATCTGTCCTCTTACTTAGGGTTCACACCTGCTGACCTTTGCTGGGCAACTGGTGTGCTGGCTCCTTTGCTATCTCCTGCTAAACAATACTTGTTGGCTCTTTGTTTGGGGTGCAAGTATTGGGTTGACCTCAAATTGTCTGGCCTTGTCCTGTCCTCAGGCTTCTGTCCAGTATAAGCCACAATTCTATGTGCTATTTGGAATGCCTGCCTTAGG